AAAACAAAATATTTAATCTTTGTTACACTTAAATAGAATTTGCATAATAATTTGGAACAGGGTACATTTATATATATATATATATATATATATATATATATTTATATATATATATATATATATATATATATATATATTTAAAAAAGTACAAAAATGATCAAACAGAAAGTATGCTATGAATTTCCGTTAGTGCACTAAATGTATTTTGCATTTTCCCATTGAAATATATATAAAAAGAATCCTGCAAACACCACGCTCCCTAGTGGCCGGTGCCGGTATTGCAGAACTTTATCCTCAGAGAAAAACACCGGCAATTGTGTGTGTTAGTGAGACTGTACGTGTGTTAGTGAGCCTGTGTAAGTGACACTGTGTATGTCAGTGAGTGTGTATGTTAGTGAGACTGCGTGTGATAGTGAGACTGTGTAAGTGACACTGTGTATGTCAGTGACTGTGTTAGTGAGACTGTGTAAGAGACACTGTGTATGTCAGTGACTGTGTTAGTGAGACTGTGCAAGTGACACTGTGTATGTCAGTGAGTGTGTTAGTGAGACTGTGTAAGTGACACTGTGTATGTCAGTGAGTGTGTGGAGTGTGTGTGTTAGTGAGACTGTGTAAGTGACACTGTGTATGTCAGTGAGTGTGTGGAGTGTGTGTGTTAGTGAGACTGTGTAAGAGACACTGTGTATGTCAGTGAGTGTGTGGAGTGTGTGTGTTAGTGAGACTGTGTAAGTGACACTGTGTATGTCAGTGAGTGAGTGTGTGTGTTAGTGAGAGTGTGTCTCTTTTTTTTCTCTAAATGTGTGCTTACTATGTCTTTCTCCCTAAATGTCTCCCCAGGCTGTTTCCGTTCTCTAAATTTCTCACGGTGCATCTGCTTTCACTTAAGCACTATACACTATAGGCACCCAGACCACTTCAGCTCATTAAAGTGGTCTGGATGCACTGTCCAATGGCCCTTCACCCTGCAAAAGTAATTATCGTAGTTTTTAACAAACTGCAATAATTACCATTCAGGGTTAACTCCACCTCTAGTTGCCAAGCATTGGGACGTCCAGCGTCACGCAAATCCCCATAGGAAAGCATTGTATAATACTTTCTTATGGGGAAATGCTAATGCGGCCATTGTGAAGTGAAGGTGGACCAGAGCCAGTGCCGAGGGACATTGGTGCTGGACCCAGGTAAGGATTTTTAACCCCTTTTGCACCATGAGGTAGGGGAGCTTGACAGAGAGGGAAGCTATAGTGCCAGGAAAACAAGTTTGATTTCCTGGCACTATTTCTTTTCAGGGCCGGACTGGCCCACCGGGATACCGGGAAATTTCCCGGTGGGCCGTCGGCAACTGGGGCCGGGCAGACACCTGGGTCTGCTGGCGGCCGCTGGGGAGGTCTTCTGGCGGCCGCTGGAGGACTTGTCCTGGCGGCTGCTGGGGGAGCTGCGCTGGCTCTGCTCCCCAGCGCGCAGCTGAATGAGACCGGCGCCGGAATATGACGTCATATGTATCTCTATGGGGAACGTTCAGCACCTAGAGAGTGTGGAGGCCCTGAATGTAGGTGCACTAACACAGGAAGCACCTCTAGTGACCGTCTGAGTGACTGTCACTAGCAGTGTCACTTTAAAGCAATGTAAACACTGCCTTTTCTCTGAAAAGTCAGTGTTTACGTTGAAAAGCCTGTAGGGACATGCTATAGACACCAGTACCACCACATTAAGCTGTGTGTGTGCGTCTGCTAGTGAGTGAGCTTGTTTGCATGTGTGTGCCTGCTAGTGAGTGAGCTTGTGTTTTTATGTCAATGAGCTGATGTATATCAGTAAGATTGTTTGTCTATGAGACTGTGTATCAATGAGCTTGTGTGTGTCATTGAACTGTCAGTGAAATTGCCTGTGTCTGCATGTGAGTATGCTTACTGTATAATTAAACATTTTACCCTGAAAGGACCAATGTTTTATATTAGAAAAAGCAATATATATATATATATATATATATATATATATATATTACTCAATCATCTGTCCTGGCACAAATTTTTGGGGCTGGTACAAATTTTTTTTCCAGGGCTGCTTTGTATCCCCAGTCCGGCCCTGTTTCTTTTTAATGTCTACTCAGTGCGTCTCTTTCCCTAAATGTCTCTTCACTGCAATTCAGAGTTTAGTGAATAAACATCTGAGAGAATGTAGTTGCATTCATTAGGGGGCGGCAAAATGGATTGTTGCCTAGGGCGGCAAGAATCCTTGCACCGGCCCTGCCCAATACAGTAAGTAATCAAACTATGGAAATGAGTGCAGCCCTGCACCGCAGGAGCTTCCACCAATAGGAGAGGAGGTGAAGGTCACTAGGAATACCCAAGGTAAGTTGTCAAACTGTTCTTAAAAGCAATGAATACTTAATCTGGAAGGTTATAAGTGCACTCCTGGCACCATAACCACTGCAACAAGCTGTAATAGTTATGGTACTTGGAGTATACCTTTATTTTTTTTTACAAACACTTATCTGTTAAATAAAGTGAATAATTAAATCTAAAATCCTGGGAAGTGACAGTTAAAGTTTTTAGTTTTTGGGAGTATGCGTATACAAGCCAAATGTTGTTTAAGTTCTCGTTACAGCAATGCAAAGCACACAGTGGATCTTGTTATGTCTGATCGTATCTTCTGATTCCTTATTTTTCCCCAAATTCAACTGGTCGGTTAAGACATAAAACAGGAAGATAAAAGAAGGTTGGTAATGTCCTTATTTGCCTAAGGCACCATGAATCATTGAGCTTCATCTGATATTTTTCGTGATGACTGTTTTCCTCATTTCAACAAAAGTCCCTTGTCATGTGTTAGCATTTTGTAAACATTTTCATTTGAAAGGAATTTATTGTAGCTCAAAAAAAACCAAAAAAACAAGGGAATGTATCCAAAATGTAAACATCCCGAAGATTCATATATTTTCCTTTTTGTCTATATAAAAGTCTGTCTGTCCGTCCGTCCGTCCGTCCGTCCATTAGTGTGTCTGTTTTTGTTTTTATATAACAATGGATAAAATAGCGTATGTATGTAAAATTGCACACGCACTTCTTACAGTTCACTGACCAGCAATGCTTTGAGACACCTGTTTGACTTTTTCACAGTGCGGCCAACTGTCAGCCGTGTGTGTGAATAGGAAAATGCTGCGGGAGAGAGATCACTGGTGTAGAGTGTCACCCACATGCTGATCCCAGGAACTAAGGCTTTTGTACATGAGAACTGTGGGATGCAGTCTGAGTGTCTGAAGGTCACTGACTTTTAAGAAAAGAAAAGCATTTGGACGCATCCGCATGTCCACTGTGATTTCAGCAAAATATAACTTAAAGGGTGTATTTATTAAACTTGCTGTAATGCAGATGTGTGTTAAAAATGCAATAAAATAGTTAAAAATATAATCAAAATATTTTCTCACAATTTTCTTGCTACAGGCTGCCTGCTTCTGTGGAGATGTCCTCTTTTACAAGGATCTGGCTGAGTAACCTCAGCTATTCCTGGTCTTTCCATAGCTTTCTGTAGGAACGCTATGCTGAGTTTTCTAAAATCCCAGGAACTGCAGTTTCCTATAAGGTCTGTTGTGCAGATCTGTTTACTGCTTCCAGTTCGTTCAAAATTAAAAATGAATAAAATAGAATAGAATGAATAGAAAGTGTTTGCCGGAGTCAATGGGGGCCCAGCAGAGGAGTAGGACAAAGCATACAGCTAACATGTTGCATTGTTTGCTTAAACGCAGGCTTCCCCAAACTCCGGCCATTCAGATGTTGCTGAACTACAACTCCCATGATTCTCAGCCTATCTACTTCATTCATAGACCCATGGGAGTTGTAGTTCAGCAACACCTGGAGGGACGGAGTTTGGGGAAGCCTGGCCTTAAAGCATTCAAATTGAAAACAAGAAATAAATAGTCACTCTAGTAAACGTATTATTGTCCAGAGTGCAGATTTACCACCCAAATAATTAGGTTTGATAATATAGTTTTCATACTTTCTGTGGTTTAAATATAAAGGTGTAAGCGGAGAAAAATTATCTATTTTGATGATTTAAAATAGGAAAGTTTTTTTACAATGTTTAAAAGGAATAACTATCAAAGCTTATTGTAGTGGTTATAGTGTTTGGGCATCATACCGAGAGTTTGCATTGTTTTTAAGAGGTTTGAGAAGAACCTAAAAAAGAAGGTTGTTTGCACTTAAAGTCCATCTACCCTGCTCTAGCTTGACTCATGCAGGACTAGACATCTGCCTTAAAGGATCACTAGTTTCAGGAAAATAAACCAGTTTTCCTGACACTATAGTGCCCTAAGGATGCCCCCACCCTCAGGGTGCGCCCTCCCTTGGCGTTGAAGGGGTTAAAACCACAGGATATGTTTAGAGGTCTTGTGGAGTCCATGCCTTGATGCAGCAGAGCTGTTCTGTCAGCATGACGGGGACCTACATGGTGGTTTTAATGTTCTAGTTGATCAATGTATCACATGGTAGCTGACAGTTTGAGAATACAATGGGTTTGTAGTGCACCTATCCAGCTTGATATGAATAGCGAATCAATTAAGCCATATGAGATCTATCAGTATGAGAGATGGAGTGAAGAAAATATTTATATTTATGCAGTTTTTTTTTTATTGTAAGTGAGATGGTATTTTTTATGGAAAGTGTTCATATGACAGATTCCAGACCCATCAAGCACTTCAGCACCCCACCTCCTATAGACTGTAAGCTCGTTTGAGCAGGGCCCTCTTCAACCTATCGTTCCTGTAAGTTTTCTTGTAATTGTCCTATTAATAGCTAAATCCCCCCTCTCATAATATTGTAAAGCGCTACGGAATCTGTTGGCGCTACATAAGTGGCAATAATAATAATAATAATAATAATAATATGTATGGAGTTCCCTTAAATAATCAGATATTTGTGTTCCAACTACATGCTCCATACCAGCAGCTAAAATGGATTTTCTTCCCAGTTCTAAATCTGTTTATTTTTTTAGCTTATCAGAGATAAGATAGACTCATGCAAAGTGCCATCTCAGCAGCTCAACTTCACGGAACAACCTTGTTTTTAAATAAAAGACATAAACACCTTACAAAACAGGCTTGCTTTGTTAAGGTACATCTGGTGCCTAACCACAGAGCAGAGATTTATGATTCCTACTTTATGACTCTTTACACTTAGCTTTGGCAGCAGATGAGAATCAGGAATTACAAGATAAGTGGAGACACAATAATGTTAGGTCCAGTCTGGCCACCAGGATGTAAATCAGGGATGATTTATTAAATGCCATGGCTTCTCTTATGGCGTAAACATTGCAATATATAATTCACTTCTGTTTTCACTAAATTCCTACTGAGCCTCCAGGTGTCGGTTGCCGCGTTCTTTATTGAATACACAACATAAATACAGTAGGACGAGATGTTAATAACAAATTGATCCTAATATCATAACAAGATCTTTCAAATTTCCATAAAGTCTGACTTCCAGTCCTTTGCTTTTTTAAGGAACTCATTAGTTAACTCCATTTAACTTGTTTCTGGTGTCACTTTTCACTACATGAGCATAGCCATCTAACTCACGTTCTGTACCTTTAGAACACTCTTTGTTTCCTGGGTTTGTCCAGTAACTGTGGATTCCTTGTTTGTAGTAACTCTGTGTCTACGTTATGAGGAGACATTCAACTTATAGTAGCATTGTACTAGTTCATCGAATGGTTCAAGAGCTATAAAGACATATCGACATGCAAAAGCCATCCTAATGCTGAATCCCATTGGACCTGGGATCACCTAGCTCATGATCCTTAGGAAGTAACAAAACATGTTTACATCAGGGTCCTTCTCCCGATGGCGAGGGAGATTCCTGCAAGCACCTTCTAGAATTTCTTCGTAAATATCGAATGGCAGAGACAGCTCCAATGTTGGCCAACAGTGCTGGAAGATAAAAACGACACATAATTAGAACAACTCCTGTAAACAACTATTAATGATTACTATACAACTGTCCAGCAATTCTAATATAAATCACATTGAACAAAAATAGTTCACAAAAATAAAATTAAAAATATCACTTCAAAAAAAGATGTTTATACAGGTTATAGCAAGTTCATGAACTAATATTATTAATAATATTTTGTAGTTCACCCCCCACCCCTCTTCGTGCTAGCAGAACAGGTCTGCTGGATTGAGGCATAGACTCTACAAGACCTTTGAGTGTGTCCTGTGATATGAGCATTTAAGTCCTGCAAGTTGCGAGGTGGGGCCTCCATGAATAGGATTTGTTGTTCCAGCACCTCCCACAGATCCTCAATTGTATTCAGATTTGGGGAATTTGGAGGCCAAGGCAACATTCTGAACTCTTTGTTGTGTCCCTCAAACCATTTTTTGCATTGTGGAAGGGTGAATTATCCTGTTGAAAGAGGCCACTGACCTGTCAGAATGCGCACTCTCTAAAAGGTATCTGACTCCTTGTCATTTTACACTTCACTCCTCTGCCCCTTGCTTGAGACTGGGATAATGATTTGACGCGGGCAGGTTCACTTTAACATATTACGGCAGTGTAGTAAGCTGGCATTCAGTAACGGTTCTAACATACCACAACTTTCAAGAACAATCACACAATTCCTGGTTAAGAAGCATTTAATGTTATGCAAAAACTGTACTCAAGCTAAATGCAAATATACTTTTTAATTTTACTTAAAGGAACTCTATAGGGTCCAGAACACAAACATGTATTCTTGAGCCTAGAGTGTTAAAAACACCATCTAGCCCCCCTGGCACCTCCTTTCTCCCCTAAATATAGTAAAATCTTCCTTTTGTTCCAGTCTGCTGCTGCTGTCTCTGCCCTGATCAGTTGCTTGGCTGAAATCATCAGAAGTGTTATTCAAAGCCAATCACGATGCTTTCACATAGGAAATAATTGGATTGGCTGAGCTTGTTAAGGAGGCAGATCAGGGGCAAAACCAGCATGAGTCAAACACAGCCCTGGCCAATCAGCATCTCCTCATAGAGAAACATTGAATCAATGCAGCTTTACGAAAAAAGTTCAGTTTCTCCATGCAGAGAGTGGAGACACCGAATGGCAGTGGCCTAGGAAAGCACCTCTAAGAGCTATCTGAGGAGTGGCCAGTGGAGTTATCCCTATGCTGTAATGTAAACACTGCATTTTCTCTAAAAAGACAGTGTTGCCTGAAGAGAATGAGTATACTCATCAGATCAAAGTAAGTAAGCTGTAGTTGTTCTCATGACTACAGCGTCCTTGGCTCTACCTGCCTAAAGTAATTCAAATCTAAAAAAACCCCAATGCTATCTAGATATCTAGAACACAGAATTTCCTTCTCATGCCTTTTATGAAATTATCATTTTTCTGGTGCAAGGACCTCCTTATATTGATCTATGTACACGCCGAGCCCCCATTATCACTGTCTGAATCACTACCAGGGTGTATGGATGGGTATACTTTTTCCCTGCTATATTTGCACAGATAAGGTGATCCCACATTTTTCCACTGCATAAAAGTGCATGATGCTATAAAAATTGTCTGTAACACTGGGTAAAGCAGGCTGGAGGTTGGTGGTCTGTAACACGGGGTAAAGCAGGTTGTGGATTGGTGGTCTGTAATGCTGGGTAAACTAGGCTAAAAGTTAAGGGATCTGTAACACTGGATAAAACATGGTAGAGGTTAGTGGTCTGTAACACTGGGTAAAACATGGTAGAGGTTAGTGGTCTGTAACACTGGGTAAAGCGGGGTGGAGGTTAGTGGTCTGTAACACTGGGTAAAGCGGGGTGGAGGTTAGTGGTCTGTAACATGAGGTAAAGCAGGTTGGGTATTGGAGGTCTCTAACGCTGGGTAAAGCAGGGTGGGGGTAGGGGGGGTCTGTAACATGGGGTAAAGCAGGTTGGGGACTGGAGGTCTCTAACACTGGGTAAAGCAAGGTGGAGGTTGGGGGGTCTGTAATACGGGTTACAACTGGTTGGGTATTGGGGGTCTGTAATGCTGGGTAAAGTAAGCTGAAAGTTGGGGTCTGTAATGCTGGTAAAGCAGGGTGGGGGTAGGGGGTAGGGGGGTCTCTAACACTGGGTAAAGCAAGGTGGAAGTTGGGGGGTCTGTAATACGGGTTAAAACTGGTTGGGTATTGGGGGTCTGTAATGCTGGGTAAAGTAGGCTGAAAGTTGGGGTCTGTAATGCTGGTAAAGCAGGGTGGGGGTTGGGGAGTCTGTCACACGGGGTAAAGCAGGTTGGACATTGGGGGTCTGTAATGCTTGGTTAAAGCAGGGTTTTACAAGCTCCTGAGGAAGTCGAGAATTAGACGAAACGCGTTGAGCATTACCCCAGAAGGACTCCAGCCCAGCAGTACCTGAGATCTGGACTCTGTGCTTCCTGACTATTTGAGAAGGAAGTGCTACTTCACCAGCTGACTGTTAATCCTGGGGATTAAGCCTATTTTGAGGCTACAAGCACTTGTGCACATATTGATTCATTTCAATTGTGCTACTTTATTTGTGAGTGTTCCCAATTTTCTTTTATCTGTGTATATTAAAGTTTTGCATTATGATCTTTTTATTTATCTCTTATATGTATATCCTTACCTTTTTGTGTCATTTTACCCCACTTCCTCTGGCATGTAAGCTCATTGAGCAGGGCCCTCAACCCCTCTGTTCCTGTGTGTCCAACTGGTCTGGTTACAACTACATGTCTGTTCGTCCACCCATTGTAAAGCGCTGCGGAATTTGACGGCGCTCTATAAATATCATAATAATAATAATAATAATATGTGAGTTTGATCTCCAATTTAACATTGTTGGTAACGATAACCACTATATATATTGTGCCTGTGGCGCCCTGCACTGTATTTTCACCTGTGTATTTGCACTTGTGTTTTTATACAGTTTTACACTTGGCTTTTATCAGAGGGATTCATGGAGTGTTTTCCCATTTTTCAGTGGCTTGCCTGCACTATTTGCACTGTAACATTCTCATTTATCTGTCCCCTTTTTTGGAGGTTGGGGGAGTCTGTAACAAGGGGTAAAACGGGTTGAACATTGGGGGTCTGTAATGCTGGGTAAAGAAGGCTGAAGGTTGTGGTCTGTAAAGCAGGGTGGAGGTTGGGGGGTCTGTAACACTGGGTAAAGTGGGCTGAAAGATCGGATCTGTAATATGGGGTAAAGGAGGTTGGGCTTTGGTGGTCTGTAACAGGTTTGGCTTTGGGGGTCTGTAATGTTGGGTAAAGCAGGGTGAAGGTTGGGGGTCTATAACACTGGTTAAAGAGGGGTGGATGTTGGCTGTCTGTAACACTGGGTAAAACAGGGTCTGGAGGTTGTGGTCAGTAATAGTAGGTAATGCAAGAGTGGAGTGTATTGTGGTCAATAACTGCGAATAGTACAGGTATGAAGATGGGGCCAGTAACAAATTGCACAGACCTGTTTTCCAACCATCTGACGACTGCAAGTCTGAAGATTTCACAGCCCAAGATGCAAAGGCCAGAAGCACCAAGCATGCGTCACCCGTGCCAGCAGGTATTCGAAGGGCCTGAGAGCCTGCAACAAATTGTACAGAATTCGTACGCATGTAAGTAAAGCAATATAGTATTATAGTATCATATTGTATTATTCAGTTAGGCAATGTGTGAGTAGTCAGGAGTTATGGTAGTTGGCGTTCAGCAGAATAGGATTTTAGCTTGCCTATCCCCGAAGTATTGGATTAATGGAGTATATAAAAACATGCTTTTTTTACATTGTTTCTTTCTTACCAGTCAGGGCTACAGCGCTGTCTTCAGTTGTCCCAAGTCTTCTGGTTACTAAGAGCTGTCCATCTCTGTCTGTTCTGTAACGGGAGCCTCTTATGGTGAACCCTTTTCTTACATTGCACAGCCGTTGTGGAAGGAAGGATTGGAGAGAAGCCACAGCAGCACTCTGTGCATGGTAAACGGGTCCACTGAGCACATTCTCTTTATTGCTCTGCTCACCTTCTCCATCAGCAAAGAAGAACTCATAGGCATCAGGCGTGCAGAAATCCCCTGAAGATGGATGAATCTCTGGTCGTTCTGGTGACATTAAGACAAAATCTGTACTTGGCTCATCTTTTTCATACTTCTTATCTTCCAACTTATTTCCATCACCTTCACCTTTGCTTTCAAGAAAAAAATATTCATACATAGAGGGTGTATACATAACGTCTTCATGCTGCGCACCTTGAGTTTCAGGTTTTGTGTCCATGTCTGCGGTTTCTGAAATTTCACCAAAGAAAAAATCATACATTTCAGGAGTGGTGAGGGCAGTGTCCTTTTGGCACATTGACCTGAGCTTTACAGTAGGTTTCTCATGGTGTTTGTTTTTCTCTGTAGAACTACTGGGCACATGGTTGTTTGGTAGCATTCTAGAACTGGAAGTACAGACCCTTTGGAATCCAGTGTCAAACTCATTTGTTGTTCCATTATTGCTAGAAGTTTTAGTGGACTCCACACTTTCTAACAAAGTGAACAACCCAGTAGGTGGATCTGGGACATTCTGCTTCACAGCTGAGGAATGTAACCTGGCTTTAGATGCAGTCTGTAGATCAGTGTCTACTCCTAGGCCAACACATATTTTATGACCATTATCTTCCATAATATCCCCGTGCTTACTGGAGTCACTATGCTCCTCAATATGTTTTCCTGTATTTACATGTCCATATTGTTCTTGATTTTCATTTACAGTTAAATATTGTGTAACTTGTATTTCACCCCTATCGCCAAAACATCCTGTAAAACTCTTGCTTTTCACTAGTTCAGAAGTGACAGGGGATATAACAGGACAGATCGAAAACGCACATCCCTTTATTTTCCCATCTTGGGTTCCTTCTGGAAGATGAAACCCATGACCATTTATTAAGGGATGCCTATCACCATCTAATGAGTCATCAGTCTTGTGTTGAAGCGCAGATGCCTCCATGCTTTCCATGGTCCTGGAAAGAACATCGGTCTGTACAGATGGTACACACGTTTTGCTATATTGCCCTATATTTTCATCTTCATCCCCAATTAAAGGAATATTATTTCTCTGTATAAAAGTTTGGGATGGGCTATACATTATTTCTCCTTCATATTGTTGTTTTCTAAACCAATTCAAAGATTTTATCTGGTCTACTAAGCCGTCATCCTCAGATTGTTCCAAATTTGGCTTGGCTATATAATGATTATCTGCTTTATTTGTAACTGGAATGTATTCACTAGATTCCGCATTCTTCCCTTTGTACAAGAGAGCCTCCCTCTGACAAAGAAACCTAGAAACAGACCCAAAATCTTCCTCGTCTTCACTGCCAGAGAGCACTACATCTTCACTTAATTCTGTCCTCTTGTAGCATGCGTGGTCACTGGTTGACAGTCCTGTAGGTGTGCTCTGTACAGCTGGATGCTCTTCCTTTGGAGGACAAAGACTGACTCGGATAAACTTGGGTTTGCTTGTATTATCATCATGCTCTGGGTCACTGAATAAAAGTTCCTCCTCTGCTGCCAGAGACACTTGCATCAAGCCACATTCCTCTGCTGTAGAGTAGAATTCTGCCCAATCACGGTCACTGATCTGGATACTATATTCAAAGTTATCCATCACTGTAAAAGGGACAAATACATACAATTTGTTGGTTACAAAGTGTTCAGTGTACTTTCAGCAGAAATAGATTTATCTGATTGCTCACTGCAGTATATTTTAAATTGACACTATAAGCACCAAAACAACTTTAGTTTAAAGGAGGTTTTGTTGTATCAATCATGCCCCTTCAGCTCCAGGACACCCCCTCCTTATATGACCTACACAGTTGCCCTACACATTTCCTGTAAATATATTTATTAAGTATCTTCCTTCTGCACCCTGGTCGAAAGACTAAAATTGATAAAAACACACAGACACTGTACAAGGCCCTAGTTGTCATGGAACTACAAATGATCCATGATGCTCTGTTATCCTTAAGACTGATCATGCATGTTGAGAGTGGTAAGTATCAAAGTTGGAGATCTACCTTTTTCCCCACCTCTGCAGTAGAACATAGAAGCATATGAAGCAACTTTTAGAAACAATTTATGGATTACTTTCTGTGGGTAAATTTCCTTAGGTATATTTTAACGTAACTAGCACATTTCAACTAAAGGCAACTGGTTACAATCTCTCTCTGTGCTTCTCAGTCATTGATGATGAATTGTGTTGGGAACAGAAGCATACCTCACAACCACTGTGGGTGGAATGGGAAAAGCACTGCTTCAAGCAATGGACAATGTATCACTTCAAACACAATACACACGTCATAACTAGGCCATGTCTTACATTATACCTCGAGCTACATCCTTTTAAATAGAATGGGGTGGTAATAGCATGGGATAATGGATACCTCAAGTATGTTTTGACATTAACTATGTACCACGTTTAAAGCAAAGAACCTCATCTCAGCCATAATGTACGGTGGTGGAAGTAGCATTACTTGGGTCCACTTCATGATCTCAGGACCCAGATGGCTTGCAATCCCTGCTTGACTAATAAATGTTGGATTCAGGGTGCCCATCTGACATTATCCTGTGGGTGCTTGAAATGTGTAAAACATGTGGCCTTTAAATGCATTAGTCGTACAAACAAGCCACCCAGTGATTAAACCATAAAAATACAATTTTGGACTAACTGAAGATATGTTCTTACCTTAATTTAATTGGAATATAGTGGCATGATCTATTGTAATCAGTCTATGTACTGTACGACAGACCAGAATTAAAAATTAGTCAATGCAATTCATTGGACAAATATACATCTAAAACAAATATGCCCAACTTGCCAACAATTTGAGAAATGGACACAAATACCATCAAGCTATGTGTAAGACTGATAGAAAATATGCAATTGAAATCTTTCTCCAAAAGGAGATTCCACAATTTACTATCTCTATGGGTTCACATTGGGTCAATATATTGTACAAACTTACCAATGCAATATATTTTTATCTGCATTATTTATTTCACCTGTGGAGGCTTGTGAACAGAGGTAGGTGGGGTCCCCCAATCCCCCACCTAGAAAAACACCTAATATATTGGTGTGGTAAGGACTAATGATAAGTAGAGATGTCGCGAACCGTCCGCAAACTTCTCGCGAACGGTTCGTGGCGAACTGTTCGCGGCGAACTCCGGTCAGCTGACACATCCCGGACAATCTCTAGCAGACCCTCCCTCCCAGACCCTCCTACTTCCTGGACAGCATCCATGTTGAAGCTGCCTTCAACATAGATGCTGTCCAGGAAGTAGGAGGGTCTGGGAGGGAGGGTCTGCTGGAGATTGGCCGGGATGTGTCAGCTGACCGGAGTTCGCTGCGAACCGCGGCGAACCGTTCGCGAGAAGTTTGCGGACGGTTCGCGACATCTCTAATGATAAGTATGCGTTAAAAAAAAACACATGTTGTCTCTGTCATAGTTACTTCTATAGTTTCCATTTACCCTTTAATGGTGACTGGAGATGGGGATGTGAGACTGAGCAACTACTCATGTGAAGACATTTTTGTAAATTAAACATTTTGACATCACCAATTGGCTTTGTATGGGGCATCCAATCCTGAATGCCCTAATAAGACCGACCTCTGTGTTGTCCTGTCTTGTAGGACTCTCATTGGGTAACAGCCCTACTGATGCTGTTACAAAGTGACAGTCATTAAAAGACAGGACAATACAGAGCTGAACCTCTTTACAATGTTTTTTACCCCCAAAATACATGTAACTCTAGGTTTATGGTTTTAAACAAAGCACAGTGTCATTGGGTTAGTGGTAGATTACATAGGGTTAAGAATCCAATAAGTCAGGGGCAGCGCCCCACCATCTTAAAACATCTCTATCTTCCATTTTATTTGACCTCTATTCCCTTTACCTATCAATAGGACCTAGATGGAGATCAGATCAGACTTGAGGCCAAGTAACAGATAATTCTAAAGGGTTCGCAAACTTTCACCAATGCTCATATATTGAATTAAGTTCTTTATAATTAAATATCACTTAATAAACATAACCATGCATTGTTCATCCCGTGTCTGTCTTGTAGCTTATGTACTAAATGCCCCCAGCTCAATATTAGTAAATCATTTGACTTCATGGCATTGTATCTATAAACACTATTTATGTTTACTGGTAAAACTCCGCCAAACACACCTGCTATAAAATATTCCCTCTGTGCGATTAGTCAGAGAAATTACCGCACGTCTCCCAATCTTTTTACAGAGATAAATCAAGCAGAGGCACGTACAGAAAGGTGACTTTGACAAGGTCAATCGAGAGAAAATACAGAGATTTCCTACATTCTATAGCAATGGTGTCAAATCTGTGCCCTCTAACTGTTAATAAATTAAAAGTTCCTGAATCATTTGTCAGCTGGTGGATGGCAGAGGTTTTGAGCTAACACGGTGCTGTACCCTCTTTTCTAAAAAAGCTGGTTGCATATATCATATCAGTCGTGGTTTGAAGACGGCTGTGGTAGTAATGTAGTTATTTTGGTTCATGATAGGTATCTTGAATGATAGATGTAAACACAAAGTATTATTTTGATTCAAACAGCTGCCGTACCCTAACATTTAAAAAAAATAAAATAAAAATGTTCTAGAGAAAAAGACACCTTATACCAGGAATAATCTATTAATCAATGTGAACCTCAAGATTTCTACATGTGGAGTAACTCCTTTTGTGCCGTATGGGTTGAGTATCACATGTCGCTCCCCTCTGGCAATTCATGAATTAAAAAAATAAACAAAACAAAACAGGAATTTAGTCACTCAACTAAGTATTTGGGGGATTTTTGGACAAAATAGTTGAACTGGATATATTCTCTTATGTGACTTGTTTTCCATTTAAGCAATTTTGCCTAAATCATGCAATTCTCTCCAAACTTCCAAAATTATCCAGGTTAGCCAGTGAACCTAACAGTATATTTCCCATTTTTAACCACGTATGATCATTTCTGCTACATCCAGGCACGACTTATTTATAAACAGGATAATGTTACCAGCTGCAAAAGGTCTAATTCTATTCTTATTTACTTGTCACATTATCCTAACCGCCTTGAAAGTCGATGATTACCGTATGAATATATCAATAAATGTTTAATAGAAAACTCGACAGATTGGTTCACCTTTTGTATTTAGTAATCTGATAATTTACTGATAAAACATGCTGTAAAATTATATAAACACTAGTTTAAAAAGTTGACACTACAGCTGCATCTTACCTTAGCAGCGTCGTCCTACTCCATGACTGATTACTGTAATAAAGTGACCTTAGTGTCTAACTGTACTATGTGCCCAGAGCGTTACCTGTCATGACAGGGCTGTCCACTCAGGTACCTAAAATAGGGCCTGCGGCGAAGCACGTGATCCCAAATACTCTGCTAAAAATAGAGGCCAAAATAGAGCACTCACCAAGCAGCTAATAGGCTCCGTGACGTGGGTGGGTTGTACCTCCCCTTAAAATAACACTACAATTTATACCGGGTTAGCCACTAAAGTGTGAACTGTCAGGAATTTATAAAAACATAGAAACATAGAATGTGACTGCAGATAAGAACCATTTGGCCCATCTAGTCTGCCCAATTTTATAAATACTTATACCGGGCTATTCAATTAGAATTTCAAATTTAAGGCCAGGGTAGTTGAATGGAAAGCATAGATGGCTTAGAGATTTCTTTCCAGTTAAACTATTCTGGTCTTAACTTTGAAATTTACTTTGAATTCTACTTTAATTCTCAATTAAGTAAATAACCCTGATAGTGAATTCAAAGTGAATTTCTAATTTTCTAGAGTATAACATTTCTTAGACCTTGTCTATTATTTAGAAATGTTTAATGTGGGCTTGTAAGAAATGTCATATATGTTTGTATTATCATACACAAAGCCAGACCTATGCACAGCCAGCCGTCAATGAGCTGAAAAAGAAATATATAAATGAAACAATGACCCATGTAACTCCTATTCTCTAATGTCATAAACAGCATTGTAAGGGCTCATAACACCCACACTGGGCAGCCGGTGAGGATGTATAATGGATATTCTTTTTTTCCCCACTCCCCTAATGTATTGCATGCCATGGCTACCATATATAGCTGCCAACTGTCCCCATTTAGGAGGGACAGTCCCTACTTTGAGCAGAATACATCTGTCTCTCTTTTCTACCATAATATCCATATTGTTGGTGTGTCTGAGTGTATAACGGAAATGTGTTTAGAAATCAGTGTGTGTAAATAAGATACGTTGCTATTGTTATACATTACATTTTTGTTTTTCACAAATTGTTAAAATATTAGTAAGTCACCAAAAATTAATCCGAACAGCTCAGCCCCTCGCCCAACCTCTAATATGAAAGTGTCCCTCTTTGTCCGTTTGAAATGCTGGTAGGTATGTTCCCAATCTGCTAAATTCTCCATTCCCTGGATTGGGATATGTATAATTAGAGATATTTTTGCCAGAAGTTCAAGGAAACAAGGCTAATGGTTAGAGTTAGGACCCACCTAAGAGGTCTGCCTTGACGTGGCAGGTGGGCATACTCTCTCATGGCCATTGGAGGTAACTAAAAACCTCAATTTGTTAAAAAATACATAGGGATGTGGAAAGAGCGCAGGTAACTTTTTTCTTTGGTTTTTACTATATGTATTTTGGCTGATGTGTACTATGGTCATTGCTGCCGCCCAGGAGTAATGGGAGTTTGAGCGCAGGACTAGTTTCTTTGTATTTGTATTCACTTTTGTATCACACAGCTTGGTTGCAATGCTGCTGCCCATCCCATGTGTTCCCTATTAAGGGTTAATAAGCATGTAGGGATGTATATAAAAAATACCCCTTTCTGTCTCATTAGAGATATTTTTGCCAGAAGCTCAAGGAAGCAAGGCGAATGGTTAGAGTTAGGACCCACCTAAGCGGTCTGCCTTGACGTGGCAGGTGGGCATACCCTCTCATGACCAGTGGAGGTACTAAAAACCTCAATTTGTTTAAAAATACATAGGGATGTGGAAAGAGCGCAGGTAACTTTTTTCCTTTGGTTTTTACTTTAGAGCTTGTTCCCCTCATCCAGCCGAATGATTCCACCGAACAGTGCCCTTTTAAGTTGTGTAGAACCGAACGCAGACGATGATGGAAGTCCAGCGGTGTTCGGGAGTTTATGTGTCCGATTTAAGTTCAAGGAATTCGACGACCAAACACCGCTGCCTGCGTTCATGCGAACAAGATGGCCGCCACCTTGTGGTCGTTCATGCGAACAGCGGCCACCCAAACAGACAATAAGAACACTGCGGTTAGAATCGTTACCAAGTGTTAATAGGGTGGTCTCTGGTTGTGCGGCTGTTCGGTTCCCGAACCACATAACCCCAATTGCACGAACAGAGTCTTTTTAAAGTATATTAGCCAAGGTCTATTGCAGGGGCCATAGTCCTGAGGCAAGAGGTTGGCCAGCAGGCCCCTCCAAGAACCCATGACGAGGTTAATTTCTTCACAGGACGTCAATGTTGTTTTGAAACTTTAGGCCATAATAGCCAATATCAAAAAATTCTCCAGGTCAATTCTGTGTTTAGTTTGGTTATTTTGGAGTTACATTTAAAATTCACTTTTAATTCCCAGCAGTTCACACTTGGCAACGTTATTCACTAGAGGCAGCACAGGTCATGAAACCAATGACAGGGTTATTTACTAAAGGGATAAGCCAAAGTGAATTTCCAGAGTATCTGAACTGAAAACATGGCTGACATAGAGAATTTCTCCAGTTTGGCTAGTTTGACCTTAAATGTAAAAATGCCCTTTGGATTTTCCCTTCCGAAAATAACCCTGTATGTTTTGGGGACTGGGAAAGGGAATTGTTAATTTTAGGAAAAAAATGCCAAGATGGAAAAAAAAATTACATTTTCCAAATATAGGAATAACAAAATTTAAAAATCAAGTTTGACAAAGAGAAAAATAGCAAAACTGTAGGCGTTGGATACTTTACTCACCTACAATATACAGGTAAATAGGAACAGGTTAAATACAAGGTGCACACTTTAAAGTATAGAATACGGCAGACTAACGCAGGAACAGGCCTCCCAACAGGCCCAAATTTGGCAGGACACTCCTGGTTTCAGGATCCTGTCCCGCCATCCTGACTTTGTTCACTGGTGTTCTTCTTTTGGGGATACAGGGAACTGTCCCCAAAAAGCACAGCGCAAGCACATCAGGAGACATTTGGATACCAGGTTGTCAATATGGGTGGATAGTTGTTGGAATTATTGGAATGATTATTGGAAAGTATTTTTAACGAGATGAGATTAAAGATCGTTTATATGTTTCTTTTTATTAAAGACAGTGCATAATAAAAAGTCATGAAAATATAATGGTACAGGCATCGAAGAATAAATATAAATAGTATCATGGTTTATAATATGGAAATGCAAGACAATGAAGTCTCTCATTTTTTGTTTCAATACTGTATAGCCATAAGTAAACACAAAGTGCTGGCAATGAGGGACTGAAGACTATTATCACTCTGGGCCAGTAGTGTCCTCAATGCCTGGACTGACCCACTGAGTTATCTAGTATAAAATCAGGAATTGACCAGGCTGGCAAACTGTGACGAGCACATATCATGTTCCAGGACCTTTTTTTGCATGAAAAATGGGAGGAGTCACCAAAGGAATGTGAATGCAGGTTCCATTGGTTTAAATGGTGATTGCTCTACTTTGAGCTAGCACAACCATAAAGGGGCACTGGTGGCTGCCTATGGCACACCGGCTCGGGGGTGAAATCTCTGGCCAGTGACACCTCGTGTGTTTCTTCTGTGTCTTCTAACAGGAAGTGCACACTAAGCAGCTTCCTGTCAGACCAGGTTGAGGATACAGAAGACGGCTAAGAGAAACACAGGAGAAGATGCATATTTTTTTGCATCCCACTTTAAGATCTCTAGACTTTTGCTAACAAAAAAAGCCATTTTATTGTACTTGAACCCCATGGGCACAAATTACAGATCTTCCCCTGAGTAAACATAAAATATATCTGCAATTTATAGTAAAGTTGACAAGAATGAATGGCATAAACATAACAGCGTGTGTGCAGAAATCAATGCAATCAGTGTAAATACCATGATATCTTGTGAATATAATGATAAGAAAATAATGAGGTTTCTATGTCCCACAAAGCAGATGGTAAAATGTTCTTATAGGGAGGGCAATTGTTTATACAACAAAGAAACAGATTGAGAACAGGCTTAGTGGGGAGGTGTCATACATACAAGTTGTATATGAAGTTGTAAGTGACACATCAATGAAGACAAACTGACTGCTTATCAAAAGATACAAACCTCGTAAATAATGTACATAATTTCAGATGGGACTGAAGTAGAATCAGTCTCCAATGCACTCAAACAGGCTTGTCAAAGGACCAGTTATAGGGGCCCAGGAGAAAAGCTGGTAGAAGTATTTTGTCTTACTTCCACCCTGTGAGGCACCCTGTATTATGTTATGTATCTGGAAGGCAGAGATTTGATAAAGGAAGTTTAGGAAGTTATGGGAAAAACTTCATGCCAATCTGAGTCATATAGATATGGTAAAGTATCTTCAGATAACTTTCCACAAGTGGAATCCTAATTACACACAAGATACTGGAAATCAGTTCATCTCCATGTGTGGATATTGTGGAGGTGGGACCACTGGCCTGACTGAGAGATGATTTATAGGGCAGGGAAGCACCCTAAAACATAGACTATGAGAACTCTCTGCTCAGGTCTCATAATCATTCTGAGCCATTAGAGAGTGAACCTATACCATTGCACATTAGACTGATCCCACCCATAAGGGCAGTCCAGAATCGTAATGTCGGCAAGTTCTCACTTCACAAGAGATACAGCAACCCCGAAGCAAGCCCTTCTTTGGGCTTCATAAGCGAAGTGTAGCTGATACCAGTCTAGGCACAGTGAGCATGGGGTCCACATCTGAAATACCCTTTAAATTGGGGAGAGCCAAGTTAATGCATGGCAAGAAACACAGAAAATATGAAAACTCTGATAAATCCAAAAGCTTGGAGTAGCTAAACATTATGGAAGCACACTGGCCAAGGCCAATCAACAGTGTGTGAATTTGTTGTTGTGCCTTGGAAGTCTTCCGTGAGAAATAAACTGCATGCAGAAGGGTGGACATATATGGTTATATGCTGGTTAAAGGCTGGAGTAAGTGAGCTGTATGGGAAGATGTGAGAATGGGCCAAAACATGCCAAACTGGATGCATTACCATCTCAGTATTCTAAAAGTAGACTGTGACTGTTTAGCAATAACATGATCCGATAGTATGCTGTCTTGGGACATGTTTCCCAAAACCAGTATGATTTATCCATGTTGAGAGTGAATTAAATTTTGTGGCAGG